ATAATTCTCCTCATTATCTGCAGCTCCCCCAAGCCTTGTGTCATCTGCAAACTTATTAACACGGGTACCTGCATTCTCCTCCTAATCATTTATATGAATGACAAATAACAGGGGTCCCAGCCCTGATCTCTATGAAGCAGCTCTGGTCACAGATCTCCAGTCAGAAAAATACCCTTCCACTGCTACTGTCTGCCTTCTATAGGGGTTATGTATCCATTTTCCCAGCTCACTGCAGATTCCATGTGACTTCACCTTTTGTATCAGTATGCCTTGAGGAACCTTGCCAAAGACCTTGCTAAATCCATATAGACAGCATCTACCGCCCTGCCCTCATCTTTGTCACTTTCTCAAAAAACTCAATCAAGTTTGTGAGACATGACGTCCCACAAACAGAGCTACGCTGTTTATCGATAATAAGTCCATATTTTCCCAATGTGAGTAAATTCTGTCCTAAGAGTCTTCTCCAATAATTTCCCTACCACTGACGTAAGACTCATCAGCCTGTAACTTCCCAGATTATCCCTGTTGCCCTTCTTAAACAAAGGAACAACGTTGGCTATTTCCCAGTCCTCCAGGACCTCTCCTGTGACTATAGAGGATACAAAGATTTTGGACAAGGGCCCAGCAATTTCCTGCCTCACCTCCTCAGTATTCTGGGATAGATCCTAACATGTCCTGGGGACTTGTCAACCTTCATGCTTTTAAAAAAAACCCAATACCTCGATTTTTTTTTGTATTGACATGCCCCAGAATATCAGCATACCCATCCCAAGACTCACCATCCACCATGCCCTTCTCCTTTGTGAATACGACACAAAGTGCTCATTAAGGACCTCACCCATTTCCTCTGGCTCCACTCATAAATTCCATCCTATGTCTTTGATTGAACCTACCCTTTCCCTAGCTACCCTTTTGGTCCTTATATATGCATGAAATTCCTTGGGAGTTTCCTTAATCCTGTTTGCTCAAGATATTTCAAGGCCCCTTTTAGCTCTCCTAACTCCTTGTTTGAGTGTTTTCCTACTGTCTTTGTATTCTTCGAGAGCTCTGTCTGTCTTCATTTTCCTAAACATTACATATGCCTCCTTTTTCTTTTTGACTAAGCTGTCAATTTCTCTTGTCATCCAAGGGTCCTGAATCTTGCCACCCTTATCCTTCATTTGCACAGGAACATGCTGGTCATTAACTCTTACCAACTGGCCTTTAAAAGATTCCCAAGTGCCAGATGTGGATTTACCCTCAAGAAGCTGCCTCCAATCTACATCCCCCAGTCCCTGACTAGTATTATAGTAGTTAGCCTTCCTCTAGTTTAGTATTTTCACCTGAGGACTCCACTCATCCTTATCCTCTAGTTCAGGTGCAATACGTCCTTGTACAACTCCTATCAGACATCCCAATGATCCACATACCTGAAGGCCTCCAAACTCTTTAGCCACATATTTAATCTTCCTACTTCCTAGCCTCATTGGCATGTGGCACAGGAAGTAATCCTGAGATTACAACCCCAGAGGCCCTGCTTTTTAACTTCCTACCTGACTCCCTGAACTGCTTTAGCAGGACCGTATTTCCCTTTCTGCTTATGTCATTGGTACCAATATGGCTGCTGAACCTCCCGCTTCAGAATATCCTGTGCCCACTCAGGGAAATCCTTGACCGTGGCTTCAGGGAGGCAAAACACCATCCTGGAGTCTCCCTTGCAGCCACAGAAATGCCTATCTGTTGCCCTGACTACAGAGACCCCTATGACTACTGCTTGTCTACACTTCGACCCTCCCTGCTGTATAATAGTGGCAATTGTGGTTCCACTGACCTGACAGCTGCTGCTGGCTTCACCTGAGGATTTTAATTTTCCAAACAAAGACCAGGACTGCCATAGTGTTCAGGGCTTCGATGGGGAGAAATTTATTAAGTGTATTCAAGAAAATGTTTTCGATCAATACCTAGGGAAGGGGCAAAACTCAACCTGCTCTTGGGAAATAAGGCAGGGCAAGTGACTGGGGTGTTAATGGGGAAGCATTTCAGGACCAGTGGCCATAATTCTATTAGTTTTAAAACAGTAATGGAAAAGGATAGGTCTGGTCCACAAGTTAAAGTTCTAATTTGGGGCAAGGCCAATTTTGATGGTATTAGACAGGAACTTTCAAAAGTTCATTGGGGGAGGCTGTTCGCAGGTAAAGGGATGTCTGGCAAGTCGGAGGCTTTCAAAAGCAAGATAACAAGAGTTCAGGGCCAGCATGTTCCTGTTAGAGTGAAGGGCAAGGCTGGCAGAAGTAGGGATCACTGGATGACGAGAGATATTGAAACTCTGGACAAGAAAAAGGAGGTGTATGTCAGGTATACACAGCTGGGAATGAAGCAAAAGTCTTGAGGAGTATAGGCAGTATAGGAGTACACTTAAGAGTGAAACCAGGAGGGCAGTTAAGGTTATGGAGAGTCAAAAGAGATTCTACAAGTACATTAACAGCAAAAGAGTAATTAGGGAGAGAATAGAGTCCCTTAAAGATCATCGAGGTCATCTGAGTGTGGTACCACAGGACATGGGTGAGATCCTAAATGAATATTTCTCATCAGTAGTTACCATGCAGAAAGACATGGAACCTAGGGAACATGAGGAAATAAATAGTGATGTCTTGAAAGGTGTCCACATTACAGAAGTGGTGGTACAGGAGATCTTAAAATTTGTAAAGGTAGATAAATCCACAGGACCTGATCAAGTGTATCCCAGGACATTGTGGGAAGCTAGGGAACTGATTGCTGGGACCCTTGCTGAGATATTTGTATCACTGTTAGCCATGGATGAAGTGCCAGAAGACTGGAGGGTGGCTAATTTTGTGCCAATCTATAAGAAAGGCTGCAAGGAAAGGCCTGGGAACTACAGAGCGGTGAGCTTAAAACCAATGGTGGGTAAGTTGTAGGAGGGGATGCTGAGGGACAGGACCTACATGCATTTGGAAAGGCAAGGACTGATTAAGGATAGTCAGCATGGTTTTGTATGTGGAAAGTCATGCCTCATAAACTTAATTGAGTTTTTTGAAGTGACCAAGAAGAGACATGAAGGCAGCATGGTAGATTTTGTCTATACAGACTTTAGCAAGGCCATTGACAAGGTTCCACGTAGTAGACTGGTTAGCAAGGCTAGATCACATGGGATCCAGGGAGACCTAGCCAATTGGATGCAAAACTGGTTTGAACAGAAAGAGACAGAGAGTGTGGTGGAGGGTTGTTGCTCAGACTGGAGGCCTGTGACCAATGGTGTGCCACAAGGATTGGTGCTGAGTCCGTTGTTGTTCGTCATTTGGATGAGAATATAGGAGGCATGGTTACTAAGTTTGCAGATGACATCAAAATTGGTGGTGCAGTGGACAGTGAAGAAGGTTATCCCAGAGTACAATGGGATCTTGACCAACTGGCCCAGTGAGCCGAGGAATGGCAGATGGAATTTAATTTAAATAAATGTGAGGTGTTGCATTTTGGTAAGACAATCCAGGGAAGGACTTATATGTTTAATGGTAGGGCCCAGAGAAGTGTTAGTGAACAGGGAGTCTAAGGGATGCAGGTACATAATTCCTTGAAAGTGGTGTCACAGGTAGATAGGGTGGTGAAGAAGGCATTTGGCATGCTTGCCTTCATGGGTCAGAGCAATGAGTACAGGAGTTGAGAAATCATGTTGTGGCTGTACAAGACATTGGTAAGGCCACATTTGGAGTACTGCGTATTGCTCTGGTCTCCCTGCTATAGGAAAGAGTACGAAAGAGATTTATAAGAATGTTACTGAGACTGGATGGTTTGAGTTATAAGGAGACATTGGATAGGCTGGGGCTTTTCTTCCTTGAGTATCAGAGGCTGAGGGGTGACCTTATAGAGATTTATAAAATCATGAGGGGCATAGATAATGCAAATAACCAAGGTCTTTTCCCCAGGATAAGGGAGTTCAAAGCTAGAGGACATAGGTTAAAGGTGAGAGGGGAAAGATTTAAAAGAGACCTGAGGGGCAATTATTTCACACAGGGGTGGTGCATTTATGGAACAAACTGGTAGAGGTAAGTACAATTACAACATTTCAAATACGATTGCACAGGTATGTGGAAAGGAAAGGTTTAGAGGGATATGGGCCAATCACAGGCAAAATTAGTTCAGGAAAGCTGGTTGGCATGGATGGGTTGTACCGAAGAGTCTGTTTCCATGCTGTATGACTCTATGATTCTCTGACTTTATGGCGATTACCCAACATTTTCTGCCTTTGTACTGATGGTGTGACCAGCTCACTAAGTGTCCTATCCACGACGTTTTCAGCCTCATGGATACTCCACAGTGCATTCATCTGCATTCCAGGTGCTCCATGCAGCAAATCAGGAGCTGCAGCTGAATATACTTCCTGCATACGTAGTCCCCATGGAAACTGGACGTGTTCCTGATTTCCCCACATATTGCAGGTGGGGCAATCCATGGGGCCAAGTTCTCCTACCATTGTGAATCTTATCAACTAAATCAACCTTATCAACTACAGACAGCAATCCCAGAACTGATAACACATCTAAACCACTAGTCACCAAACTCGGGTCTCTCACTCTCGCTATCCATTCCTAGCAGACTACAACTACAAAAAGTAAATACCTTATCTCTCTGCAGACACTGTTCAGTCAGTCTGCAACCAAGCCTTGGTCACTGTTTGAGTCATGATGTCACTTCCAGAGCTGCAACCCTGGTCCTCAGGTATTTATCCTGTGGTTCACCCTAAGGTTCACTGTTTGTAATATTGTGGAACATGACTTCGTTAATATTGTGCAACTTGGTGTTCAGTACTATTATGGACTACGGCGTCAGTAATACTGTGGAACATGATGCATGTAAGATTGTGGAATATGGTGTCAATAACATGATGTCAATATTGTGGAAAATGGATGTGGGTGGGTGAAGAACATCTCCCAAGAAGTGGGATAATTGGATCACTGGATCATTACAATTTGCTCATTGTTGTGTTTGTCTTTCATGGTTCACAGGAGCCGGGAAACATTGGCGATATGGTAAGTAACTGCTTCATTTCCTGGGGTTCTCACTGGGAGGAGATTACAGGGTTAACAGCTGCTGTTATGTTGTGCTCATTACACCCTGTACAAGACAAAACAGCAACTAGTTCCATGTTACACAAACACAATATTTGTGACCAAGAATCACCAACAGGCCTCTGTCTGTTCCAGTGACAGTCTTCCCAGCTCATCTCCCCATGTCCACACACCCTCCCACTCCTTCCTCCCTTGTGCTTTTTTATTCAACTTGCCCTCAACTGCAAATTGTTCTGCACTGCAAACGTTTCCAACCATCTGGACCTTCCATCCCAGTTAGTCAGTCAGTCTACAAGATGGTTATGCCATAAGTTTATGCTCAGTAGTAGATGGAGAAACAATATTCGAGAGAATATAAACATTTGAGAGAACAACATTTGAGATTACTGACATTCGTTAAGATGATGAGGGAGTGTTGTGGAGGCTGCTTTATAATCCACCATTGTAGACCTTTATCACATGGTGATTGGTGTGTTTCACAGTGAATATCAGCATTCAGAGCGTTTTTATCAATTTATCTAAACTCAACACCATTCTGTGGAAGCAGGTTACTGATGTTTCTTTGATGATTGCATTGTTTGGCTTTAATTCTGGCCAGGATGGGATCTGACCAATGCTGGATGTTCCAGGATAGTCCTTTTTAAATTTTTCTCCCGTGTCCTGGATTATCTGCTGCCAGGATATTATTTATCCAACATTTTTGGGATTTGATGTCTTCAATCATCCTGACAGCTGTTCTAACAGACCTGGAGTCACCCAGAGCCATCTGATCACCCCTCCTCCAACTCCCCATTCCCTCACCCCCTAATAGACCTGGAGTCACTTACAGCTGCCCCATTACCCCTCCCCCAACTCCCCATTACCCCCGCCCCCACTCTAACAGACCAGGAGTCATAAGAACATAAGAACTAGGAGCAGGAGTAGGCCGTCTGGCCCTTCGAGCCTGCTCCGCCATTCAATAAGATCATGGCTGATCTTTTCGTGGACTCAGATCCACTTACCTGCATTCTCACCGTATCCCTTAATTCCTTTATTGTTCAAAAAAAATCTATTTTTTTAAAAACATTTACTGAAGTAGCATCAACTACTTCACTGGGCAAGGAATTCCATAGATTAACAACCCTCTGGGTGAAGAAATTCCTTCTCAGTTCAGTCCTAAATCTGCTCCCTCTAATCTTGAGGCTATGCTCTCTTGTCCGAGCTTCATCTGTCAGTGGAAACATCCTCTCTACTTCTATCTTATCTATTCCCTTCATAATTTTATATGTTTCTATAAGATCCCCCCTCAATCTTCTGAATTCCAATGAATATAATCCCAATCTACTCAGTGTCTCCTCATAAGCCAACCCCCTCAACTCCGGAATCAACCTAGTGAACCTCCTTTGCACCCCCTCCAGTGCCAATACATCCTTTCTCAAGTAAGGAGACCAAAACTGCACACAGTACTCCAGGTGTGGCCTCACCAGCACCTTGTACAGCTGCAACATAACTTCTCTGTTTTTTATTTCAATCCCTTTAGCAATGAAGGACAAAATTCCATTTGCCTTCCTAATTACTTGTTGTACCTGCAGACCTACCTTCTGTGATTCATGCACAAGGACACCCAGGTCCCTCTGCATAGCAGCACGCTGCAACATTTTACCATTGAAGTAATAATCCTTTTTACTATTACTCTTACCAAAATGTATGACTTCACATTTATTTACATTGTATTCCATCTGCCAGACCTTTGCCCACTCACTCACACCTTGAATCCTGCACATGTTGGACAAGATTAGAAACCTCAGCAAGTCTAGCAGCATCTGTGGAGAGAGAAACAGAGTCAATGTTTCTGTTGGATGATCCTACATCAGAACAGATCAAACACTTCCTGGGATTAATGACAGACCTCCTTACTCTCTGGATCTGAGTCTCAATGATATAACAATTACTTCCACCCATCATTGTGTATAACAGTGGCCATTCCCCATAGTTCCTGTGCTGGTTTTTGCAAACAGCTAACTAATTTGCCCTGATCACTTGGCATTTTGATGGTGCCTTTCAAACTTTTCCTTTTCAATTATTGGTCCAATTCCTTTTGGAAAGGAAAGCGGAGTTTGAGGATGATCTCATTGAATGGCAGAGAAAAGTCAATGAGCTGAATGACCTACTTCTGCTTCTGTGTCTTATGGTCTTAATCCAATAAAAATGGGATTGTGGTTACTCTGTGTTGTTGTGGAATCTCACAGTTAGCTCCGTAGTAACTCTATGGCACTGAGTTGACCAGTAACCTTGGAAATGTGAATCTTTTTTAGGATCTGTCTTCTTCCCAATGTAATTATTTTGAAAGTTCCAAAACTAATGAGTTTTTTTTTAAATGTTGAAGCTGCAAGGACACTGTTCTATGCCAGTTCTGCACGTTATTCTGGCAAGTAAAATATTGAGACTCTGAAGAAGTTTCATGAAAATGATCTATAAGGATAAATGCAAAACTGGGAGACTATGCCTCGCAAGGAAGCCTGAAGCATTTGGATCATTTTCTCGAAAACAGAAGGCTGTGGGGTGACCTGATGAGGTCTTTAAACTTCTGAAAAGGATTTAATAGCGTAGGTGTGGAGAACATGAGTCAGTTTGAAACTAAAAATGACAAATATAAGGTAGTTACAAATAAATCCAGCAGTGAATACAGGAGAAATGTCTTTACCCAGAGGGTGTGAGGATGTGGGACTTAAAGAGATTAGTTGTACAGAACTACATTTAAGAGGAAGATGGATAAATAATTGAGTGAGAAATAAGCTCAGAATTACTATTCAGTTTTTGAGGGAGTCCCATGCTCTGCATCGAAACCCTGCTGTAGTCAACAATAACAAAAAGTCAACATTTTATTGCATTGGCATGTGATCTTTGGCAGTTTGAAAATGAAAATTTCAACTGAAACATACATACAAATGTCTACCGTTAAGCCGGCTCCACCATTCAATAAGACCATGCCAATCTGATTATAACCTCAAATCCATATTCCCACCTCCCAGTGATAACCTTTCTATTTCCTTCTGTCATAAAAGTGATACACCTTCTGGCACATCTGTTTTAATGGGCGACCACTGATTTTTTTTTAAAATGACCCCCAGTTCCAGATTCTCCCATAAAAAGAAAGACCTTCTTCACATGTACCATGTCAAGTCTCCTCAGGATTTCGGAGGTTTCAATCAAGCAGCTCTTACTCTTTGAAACTCCAGTGGATACAAATTTAGCCTGTCCAACCTTTAATGATAAGACAATCATCTCATTCCAAGTATTGATCTGCCTCCAGTGCATTTACATCCTTCCTGAAATAAGGAGACCTGTTCTACACACAATACTCCAGACGTGGTCTCACCAGTGCCCTGTATAACTGAAGCATAGCCCTCATATTCAGTTCCTCTCTTGATAAATGATAACATTCTCCTAGCTTTCCTGATTACTTGCTGTACCTGCATACTAACATTCATGCACTAGGACACCCAGATCCCTCTGCATCTCAGAGCTCTGCAATCTCTTACCATTTAGATAATAGTCTTCTAATAGAGTCATAGAGTCATACAGCATGAAAACAGACCCTTCGGTTCAACCAGTCCATGCTGAACATAATCCCAGACTAAACTAGTCCCACATGCCTGCTCCTGGCCCATGTCCTGCCAAACCTTTCCTATTCATGTACTTATCCAAATGTCCTTTAAACATTGTAACTGTACCTGCATCCACCACTTCTTCAGGAAGCTCATTCCATGTACGAACCACCCTCTGTGTAAAAAATTTGCACCTCATGTCTTTTTTAAATCTCTCTCCTCTCACCTTAAAACTCTTCCCCCCGGTCTTGAAATCCCCCATCCTAGGGAAAAGACAACTACCATTAACTCCAACAATACCCTTCATTATTTTATAAACTTCAACGAGGTTGCCTCTCAACCTCCTACGGTCCAGTGAAAAAAGCTCCTGGCCTATCCAACCTTTCTTTATAATTCAGACCTTCCATACCTGGCAACATCATCCTTCCAGCACAAACATAGAATCCCTACAGTGTGGAAGCAGGCCATTCAGCCCATTGAGTGCACAGCAATCCTGCTGAAGAGCATCCTACCCAGACCAACTCCCTACCCTATCCCTGTAACCCTGCATTTCCCATGGCTAATCTACCTAGCCTGCACACTGCTGGACACTATCGTCAATTTAACATGGCCAATCCAGCTAACCTGCACATCTTTGGACTGTGGGAGGAAACCGGAGCACCCAGAAGAAACCCACGCAGACACGGGGAGAACGTGCAAACTCCACACAGACAGTTGCCCAAGGGTGGAATCGAATGTGGGTCCCTGGTGCTGAAAGTTAGCAGTGCTAACCACTGAGCCACCGTGCCATCCAAATGGACAATTTCACATTTTCCCATGTTATTTTCCATTTGCTACATCTTTGCCCACTCACTTAACCTATCTCTGGCTATTTGTAGGCTCTTTAAGGCCTCTTCTCAACTCACTTTCCTACCTATCTCTCAAATTTGGCTATCATACTTTCAATCCCTTCATCCAAATCGTTGATATAAATTGTAAGCTGTTAAGGCCACAGCACTGATCCCTGTGGCGCACCACTCATTACATCTTGCACACCATTTACAACCACTTCCTGCTTCCTGTTTGTCAGACTATGTTCTATCCATGTCAATATGTTACAATCCCCTTGAAATAACTCTGCAATATATCCCATCACCAAGTCACCCTTTACGTACATGTGGAGAGTCTATGACACTGATCCAGCTCTCTCAGAGCCAGCTCTCAGAGTGAACAGAATCCCTGGTACTCCTGTTTGTACCTGTTAGCGAGGGCTCCCTGATTAGACCAGGTTAACAGCCCCAGTCAGGGAACTCATGTTCTATGAGTTCCAATTGGCTGACCACGTTACAATCATTACACTCCCTCCATACGATGAGCTTTTGTTCTTGCAATAAACTTTGATGTTGCACCTGATCAAAAGTCTGCTGAGAATCTAAGACCACCGGTTCATTTTATCCATAACGCATGTTATTTCCTCAAAGACTTCCAGTACGTTGGTCAAACATGATTTCCCATGTGGACAAGACCACGTGGACTCTGCCAGATTACTTTGAATTTATCCAGATATGTTGCTGTAACTTTTTTAACAATAGCCTCTAACAGCTTTGCTATGTCAGATGTTAAGCCAATTGACCTGTCGTTTGCTCATTTCTATCTCCCTCTATTTTTGAAAAGTGGAATATATTTCCTGTCTTCCAATCTAATTGGACATTCCTTCATTAAGGAATTTGTGGAAAATTAAAACTAATGTATCAATTATCTCTCTAATCAATTCTTTTATGATTCCAGGATGAAGACCATTAGGATCTGGTCACATATCAGTCTGCAGCTCAACAGTTTATTCAGCAATGCTTCTCTAGTGATTGTGATTTTCCTGAGTTCCTCCCTCCCTTCCATCTCCCAATTTATCACTGATTCTAGGATGTTGCTTGTATCCGTTATAGTGAAGACTGATCCAAAATACCTGTTCAATTCAACTGCCATTTCCTTATTTTCCAGATTCACTTTCTATAAGTTCAGTGCTCACTTTGTTAACTATTTTTTTAAAAATAATTATACAAACTCTTATTATCTATTTTGTTCTTCCGGTTAGCTTTCTCTTATACTCCAATTTTCCCCTTTAAGTAATTTTTCAGGACTTTCTTTGCCATCTTTATATTCTCTCCAATCTTCTGACCTGCTACCTACCTTTTCACAATTCTTTGTGTTTTCTTTTAGTTCGATATAATTTTTAACATTTCCTCATTAACCACGATGATGGGTCCATATTTGGAACTTTTCTTAATCTTTGGAATGTATCTATTCTGTGTGTTCTGAAATATCCCCTTAATTGTCTGCCATTAAACTTCTTTCTTTAACTGAATTTCACTTTAGCCACCTCTGTTTTCATGCTTTCATAATCCCCTTTATTTAATTTTTTTAAAAAATGGTCTTAGACCACCTCCTCTCTCTCTCAAACTGAATATAAAATCCAGTCATATTTTGGTCCCTGCTACCTAAGGTTGTCTTCCTGATGAGATCATTAATTAGTGCTATCTCACTGCACAACCCCAGGTCTAGTACATCCTACCCTCCAGTTGGTCCTAGCACAGGCTGGCTCCCAAGCATCACAATATACACATCAGTTTCTTGTGTAGGAACAGTAGCTCAGGAGGAGGTCATTCAGCTGCTTCAGCTTTTTCATTGCCACTTAAAAATGTAGAATTTTCCAGTATAGAAGGAGGCCATTCAGTCCATTATATCTGTCTTACCTAGCTTCTTCTCATATCCCTTGAAGCCCTTAGCTAGCATAGAGTGGACAGTGGTATAATGGTAATGTTACTGCATATGAATCCAGTAGCCCTAGGCTGAAGAAATGGATTCAAATCACCATGTGGCAGCTACTGGAATTTTGAATTAAATTACTAATTTTTGAATCAAAAGCTAATCTCCACGATGCTGACCATGTAACTATCATTAATTGCTGTAAAAATGCAATGATTCAGTAATGTCCTTGAGGCAAGGAAATCTGTTATCCTTCATTGGCCTGGCCTATATGTTGCTCTAGACCAACAGCAATACAGTTGACTCTCAAATGGTAACACAGTGTGGAGCTAGAGGAAAACAGCAGGCCAATTCTTACTATCCCTGACTCTCAAATAGCCTTTTTTAAAAAAAAGTTCATGGATACGGGCATTGCTGGCTATGCAGCATTTATTGCCCAAAAGGCAGGTAAGAGTCAACCACATTGTTGTGGGTCTGGAGTCACATGTAGGACAGACCAGGTAAGGATGGTAGTTGCCTTCCCTAAAGGACATTAGTGAACCAGATGGGTTTTTCTGACTATGGATTAATGGTCATCATTAGATTCTTAATTCCAGATTTTTATTGAATTCAAATTCCAGCATCTACCGTGACAGGATTCGAACTCACATACCCAGAACATTGCCCGTGTTCCTGGGTTAACAGTCTAGGCCATCATCTCCCCTTGCAATCTGTTGGGGTTGCCAGGTCAAAATTGGATCTTGCCTCTAGTCGAAAGAATGAATTTCAGCCCAGTGCTTCACGCCGAGAGAGCAGATGGTAGCGAAACTAAATGACTTTGCCAACATGCAAGACACATTCCTGACTTGGTCTGCTTCCTGTTGTTCCGATTGGATTTAGAATGGGATCAGTGAAGCTGCACTCTGCAATGAAATGAATTGGACATGCTGTGGAAAAGTTATGTATTGTGTTTCTTATTCATGTACCTGAGTGCGGCCTGACTTTAGATATTTGCCTGTAATCTCCACAGGGACCTCAAGGAGATGTTGGACTGCCAGGTGCCCAGGGCCCTCAAGGGCAGCGGGTAAGTCATCAGTATCATCGAACATTTGGTAACAGTTCGCACATTCTCATCCTCACCTGAAAATTCTGTGTCTTGTTTAATGGCTCCGTTATAATGAAAACATGTGACTACTCACTTAATTCAGTGAAATTACATTTTAATTGCTATCATTGGCATTGCCAACAACAACACTCAAGAAGCTCAACACCATCCAGGTCAAAGCAATCCACTTGATTGGCACCAGCTTCAACATCCTCTCCCTCAAACAGCGACGCTCAGTCGCAGCAGTGTATACATCTACAAGACTCACTGCAGCAACTCGACCCAACATTCACAGTCAACTTTTTGAAGACAGCATCAGGTTTAGGCACAGCAAGATCCCACTAAAATCAGTGTATTGTGACCAGATAATTCTTTCAGGGATGCTGACCGAGAGATAAATATCAGCCAGGATGTGAGAGAGAACTCAGGTGCCCGTCTTTGAAATGGTACGGAGAAACCTTAACAACCACCCAAGCGGGCAGGGGAGGCCTAGTTTTAACAACTTACCCAGGAGGTGGCATGTCGTCAGCACAGGGCTGGCACATCAGGGCAGACTCTCTGGAGTGGACCCTACAATTCCCCTGACTCCATACGGTGGGATGCTGGGGTATGCGACCCACTGAGCCAATGAGCCTTTACTGTTCAATGAGCAATGCTGAGCCTCAACTGTTGACATCTCCATTATCACCAGCAAAACATCAGCAGGTACAATAGTGACAGCCACCAGCCTCCAGCACTGATACTGCAACTGTTTATTCCACTGGGAACAATACGAGGGGCTCTCCTCAGCTCTCTCCTACACCAGCCCTGGGTCATTTTAGGATTTATTCAGTTTGGTTTATTACTGTCATGTATACCAAGGTACAGTGAAAAGAGTTGTCTTATGTGTTTTACAGGCAGACCATACCGTACAAAGTGCATCAGGGTAACAGAACAGAGTGCAGGACACAGTGTTACACCTGCTGAGAAGGTGCAGAGAGAGATCAACAGTAACATTAAAGAGATCCATTGAAAAGTCTGAGAACAGCGGGGAAGAGACTGTTCATACATGTATACAACATATATAGCAGAGGGCCCATTGGTCAGGACACAATCAGTTCCAACACTACACATCACACAATGCTAAAGCCTCCACCTTTTTAGCCATGCTCATTTTCTCTGTATTTTTCAGGGTGAAGATGGTCTAACTGGACTTCCAGGACCACCTGGACCTCCCGGACCCCCGGTATGTGTGACACCAATTTATCTCACATCAAATCTTTGTTTGGATCAGAGAGGGAGAGAGAGAGACACTATAACCAGAAAGGCGTTAGAAAGTTTGCATCACCACATTTCATTAGGGTAGATTTACTAACAGAGGTTAAAGTGGAATGAAGGTCAGGTCAACCTGACAGGCAATGGGAGCAGTCTTCCACTGAAGGACGAGAACAATCTTAGCATCAGACAGCTAACTCTCAGATAATGTTGTGTTTAAAAGGTCTCACCTAACCTCAGTGCTGACACGCTCATGAAGCCTGCTCCGAATCAATCTTCAATGATATTTCTTGGAAGGTGTCCACCTGTTAAGCAGTCCAAACAGTGACCTAGATGGAGGCCGTTCAGCCTATTGTACCTACAACTGTTCTTTGGTAGAACTATCCAATTAGCCCTTTGCTCTTTGCAAATAGCTCTGCAAAAATTTTTCAAGTATTTGTGCAAGTTCCTGTTGGAATTAATGATTGCATCGCATCTGATACCATCACTTACTGAGTGAGCTGAGGGATGAATTTAAACACTGGTACCATCCCAGTGCGTGATAGCTACCTGCCATTTACTCACACATGCAGTGTGAGGCGGAGATACTGGCAGAGGGTCAGGCCCCATGGTGAGACTTTGGCTTCAGGAGGAAGGGTGGGGTGCAAAGGTGGAAGCCAGTACAGGAGGGGGCAGATTGGACTTTGTCAGAAGCTTGGTCAACTGAAGCCAACAAGAAAGAAAATACGAATGGTTGCGAAAGGCATTGGAATTTGCCAAGAGTACATTTGCAAAACACTGGGAACAAGCAATGTCACTCCCTGTTAATGTCAGCAATTAATATTGTTTTGAGCAATTAAGCCACAATTTACTGCTAAAAGTATTTATAATTTCAATTTGCAGGGTGAGCCTGGGCTTTACACAGGAGAAGGAAGTGGCGACTTTTCTGTAAGTTTTCCAGCACTTTTTGTGTTCAATGGCTCCATGGTAACTACATACACCACTATTTACATAACATAAGGTTTAACACAAAATAACTGTTGATGTTGAAGTCTTCAGAATTGAAGAAAGGAAGACACTGTATTTGTATAGCACCTTATTTATTCTCAGGGCTTCTTATACTGATTCACAGCCAATAAAATGCTTCTAAAGTGCAGTCACTTATATTGGAAATGTGGTAACAAATCTGCACACAGCAACATCTACACAAGGTAACTGCCCAGCAGAATGTTTGTGGTGCAGTGATTGTATCCCTGGCCCAGAAGGTCTGGGATCAAGTCCCACCTGCCCCAAGGTGTATCATAAAGTATCTCATGAGCTGATGAGCCAGTGCTAGTGTGTTTTACTGGCATTGACGAAAGGATAAAGATTGAAATCCCCTGCTGCCTCACCATCACTATGTTCACCTGCTTTAAGGTCTGCTCAGGTCGTTGCTGCTCCAACAGAACCTCTCCAGTCCAATCCTGCTCTCTGACTGTTATCTAAGATTAACTGCTGGAGTCTCTGGTGTGAACCTTGAACCCACCACCTTCAGGCTGTAAATGTACTACCCACCAAGACTAGGTTCAGGAGATTGTATACAGTGAGAATGTACAGCCAGACAGAGACACACATCTATCAGACTCACATGCAACTGAACATGAAACATTGCTATTGGAGAGAAAGATTCTTAATTGGCTACAGGCCAGGAAATGCCTGTTACAATCAGAGTGCAGAGAAAACAAAGAACAGTACAGGATAGGAACAGTCCCTTTCGCCCAGCAATCCTGTGCCGACTCATGATATCTTTCTAAATGAAAACCTTTAGCCTCTATGTGGTCCATATCCCTCTGTTCCCTGCCTATTCATGTATCTGTCAAGATGACTCTTAAAAATTGCTATTGTAACCACCTCCACCACCTCATTTGGCAGCGCATTCCAGGCACTTACCACCTTTTGTGTAAAATTCTTGCATCTCACATCTCCTTTAAACTTACCCTCTTTCACTTTGAACGTATGACCCCTAGTAATTGAGATTTCTACCCTGGGAACGAGACTCCAATTATCCATCCTATACATGTCTCTCATAATTTTGTAAACCATCAGGTCGCCTTTCATCCTTTGATGTACAAGTGAAAACAAACCAAGTTTGCCCAATCTCTCCTCATAGCTAACAGCACCCCCAATTCAGGCAACATCCTGGTTACGCATTTCCATACCCTCTCCAAAGTGTCCACATCCTTCTGTTAGCGTGGCGACCGGAACTGTACACAATATTCCAAATGTGACCTAACTGATGTTCTATCCAGCTGCAAGATGACTTTCCAGTTTTTATAGTTTATGCCCTGACCAATGAAGGCAAGCAATGCCATATGCCTTCTTGACCAACTAATCCACATTTGTTGCCAATTTCAGAGAAAGTGTTGGCTTCATTCCATAATGCAAACCAGCTGTCCAGCCAACTGAGCTACCCTGCACCCTCCCACCTTCACAGTGGTTATGTTCTAACCAACCCATTCAGAATGTTATTACACAGAAATGGAGCCAGCGGGACTTGAAGTCAGGGCTCCTAGCATCAGAGGTAGGGTCCCTATCACTGCACCATGACAGCCACTAAAGAAAATGGGAGGATACTTGTGAGGGATTAGCAAACATTAAGAGGGCATTAATAGACAGAGAAAATATTGGTGAATTAGGCTAATGGGTGTCCATATTCTAAAACTGGGGAGGGTTTATATAAAAATAAAACCCTGTAGATACTAGCAACCTGTAAAAGCAAAAGACAGAAAATGCTGGAGAGAACAGAAACTCAGCAGGTCTGCCATCATCTGTGAAGAGAGAAACAGAGTTAATGTTTCTGATGAATAGTCAGTGTCTTGAAGTGTAATGATGGTTTGTTATAAAATAACAGGATTGATTGTTCGGGAAAACCTAACTGTCTGTGTGATAGCCCAGTCAGCATGCATGCTGTAATCAACCTTCAATGCAATTGGGAAAGTGGTATATGGGCTTTGGTTAGTCCAATAAAATAGACAGAGGCCATTCACTCCATTGGTCCACCACTAGCTCTTTGAAAGTGCAATCCATTTAGTCAATGCTGTCCCTTACCCTCTGCACCCCAACACTTTTCCAATCATCAACTTGTCCAGCAACTTCCAAAAGGCTAAAGTTCTACACAAAAGGTTATTGATTAATTTTAAAGTTGTGTAGGAATATGGGATAAACCTTGGGAATGTACAAGAAACTGGGTGAAAGGGAGGATTGAACCATAAGACGAGCATGTCCAAGTGAGGTGAAGGACTGGGTTTGGTACCTGAACTTTGTTTGTCGGACCAATGTTCGCTCTAATCTACATCAATATCTTGGATTTAGAAACTCATTGTAAAGTAGTCAAGTTTGTCCCAATGAAATCAGAGGAGATGGTTTAGAGATTACAGAATGAGTTAGAGAGAACATTGTAAATCAGCAAGAACGATGGCAATGGCCCTTCCAGCAGAGAATGGGAAAGAGCTGAACAAAAGAGGAAGGAATAGGTAACACATGCACTCCATAAGTAGTGTTCAGGAAACTGTCAATGAAGCTAAAAGATCTTTATTCCACATTAAGATGCAAGTATATTGAGATTGTCCAAATCATTTCCTGTCAGACACCTAAAGCCAGAGTGTGATGGGAGGATTTTCCTCTCTGACACCAAAGGCAAAACGTGCATCCCTCATTTTTGAAAGTCATCATAATCACCATTTAGAAACATAGAATCCCGACAGTGCAGAAAGAGGCCAGTTGGCCCATCAAGTCTGCACCAACCTTCCGAAGAGCATCCAACCCTGGTAATCCTGCATGTAGTTTTTACCCATAGCTAACCCACCTAACCTGCACATTACAGAGCAAATTTTAGCATGGCCAAATCACCTAACCTGCACATCTTTGGAATGTGGGAGGAAACCCACACAGACACAGGGAGAGCGTGCAGACTCCACACAGACAGTCCCCTGAGGCTGGAATCAAACCTAGGTCCCCAACACTGTGAGGCAACAGTGCTAACCACTGAGCCACCCTTTCATTAGACAATAAGAATATATACTGATATTTATTGACAAAGGATATGAATTGATAATTGATATTGATAATTGATCTTGATTAATTGATCAATGGTATTTATAGATGACTAATATCACTGAATTGCTGATCTAAATTGATGATTAATACTGATTAATCTGTGATACGGATTGATTACTGATATTGGTGATAGCTGATATCGATTGAGCCTGCTTGGTGGCTCGTATTGTTTGATCATTGATACTGATTGATAATTGATATTGATGAGAGCTGATTTTGATCGATAACATCCTCTTTTTGCCTATTATTCTCTAGTGCCCAGCTGCCTGCCCTCCTGGTCCTGCTGGTCCTCCGGGAATGCCTGGATTCAAGGTATGATCATGCAGTCAATAATCAGTCTAGATCGATATTAGATTATATTGACTGCATCGCCTGATAATTACCTATTAAAACTTCCTGGAACATTGTTTAAGGACAGGGGGAGAAACCTTATGGGAAACACAGACGGGTGGCTGTGCTGTGAATTCATCACTTTGAAGGTGATGGCAATGATTCTCTGAAAACCTAGGATTCCAACCATTACTGAAGCTTCCTCCCGATCCTCCTTCCCCAGTGAAAATCCTGAAGGAAATAGCTGGAGGATGAACTAATAAAGAGAACCAATGTAACACAGATGGGTTAGCGATAATGTCATGGACTTTTAATCACAGTAGCTGATAGAATTTGAGATCTATTGATAAATCTGGACTGTAACATTAATTTTATTCACTGTGCCCACGACAACTATCACTGACTTTTAAAAAATCCATTTGGATCATTAATATTCTTTGGGAAAGGAAATCTGCTATCCTTACCCAGTCTGACCTACATGTGACTGCAGACCTGTATCAATGTGTGGACTCCTAACTGCCCTCTGAAATGACCCTAGAGAGATGCTCTGTACAAGGGCAATTAAGGATAGGGAACAAATGCCAGCAACAGCTTCACCCTGGAATAGAATGGAAAAATGACACATGCCAGAACATAGAGTAAAGTAGGACTATCCTGTCTGGAGTTGTCTCATGCAAGTATGTAAAACCCTTAAAGATGTAGACAGGATAAATAATGAGAGTCTGTTTATCCTGGCTGGAGATTCTAACATCAGGTTATAATGTCAGAACATCTCACAGGGGACTGACATGGGAAGTAGTTTCAGATGGTTGTGAATCTTTGGTTTTCTCCACCTCAGCAGGGTTTTCATACACAGTTGTTGATTATATTTAAGAATGAAATCGATAGGTTGTCGGACACTAAGGCAGTGAAGGGGTACGGAGCTCGGAGGAGAAAGTAGACTTGAGTTTGACAGTCACTACGATCTCACTGAATAGTGGAGCAGGTTCAATGGATGTGTCCCCTTGCTCTTGTTCCTTATGTTTTTAATCATAAGAGCGCAGGAAATAGGAGCAGGAGGAGGTAATTCAGCTCCCTCAAGTTATTCACATGGATCATGGCTCGTCTTCCAAATGAAAGTGCAGGAAAATGGCAATCTCCGTAACCTTTGACATTGTTAATATGGTCAGCTCCACCATCAGCTAGGTACAGATCAGTGTTATGGGACAGGGTTAGTATAAGTTACACAAAGAAACTTATTTAAGGGAAAGACTTACAGTGAAGACTTGACCAAGTCTGGGCAGAGACAGAGAGTCATGCTTGGGGTTTGGAAACTCTGTACCTGGGGGATGACTAGGAAGCTGAGACACAGGATGTAGCTTTGAGATGCTGAGGAAGAATGTATTCCAGTTAAAGTGGGTGCCCTTATTTCAACCAAGTGACAGTTCCAGGAAGGAAAGGGATGACAAGGGGAGGAGCTCAAAACTAAGAACCAGAGATAGTCACCAAGAGCTGCTATTGGGAATTTAAGAGTAGCCTCAGAGAGAGTTTAGAATGTGGAATTTTCTACCACACACAATAGCTGTAGTCCCTGCTTTCTGTTTCGACGGGTGGTGAGGGGCTGGGCACCTGTGTACTCGGGAGTAATGACCATAAGCCAACAGGCACAAGTATGTCGGGTGCTGATAGTGCTCTAACCCTGATTATTGTTTGTGTCTTTTTTTATCCAGGGGCACACAGGGCACAAGGGAGAGCGTGGAGAACTTGGCAAAAGAGGTGCCACGGTAAATCACTGGCATTTTGACCAGCATGTCCTATTTATTGTGTACAGTGCTTGCTCCTTGTGGTGTTGCATGTTCTAACGACTGGATATTTGGAATTCCAGGGGGATCCCGGACCTCCCGGCGTGTCAGGTTTACCTGGACCAATCGGATTACAGGTAGGAGCTGGAGGCAAAGGGAGGATACACAAGTGAGAGGTGCTTGTTGTATTGTTCGTGACCCAAGCAAACCCCACGGCTCAGAAAAATCTCCTTTCCACGGTCCAGCAGCTGCTTTGTTTTATTGGTTCAGGTTGAGTTTGAGAGTTCCTGGCCTTGTCCTATAAGTCCTGAAGCCCAATGGTTGGAGGGTGGAGGACATGATGTCATCACCATTGCCTTCCTTTCATCTTTTCAGGGGGCCACTCCCATCATCCCCTACTCCCCACCCAATGCCCTGCTCCCCTGCAGTCTGCCCCCTCAGAAACCTGGAGAAACCAGCCCCATGGCCAGCTCTTTACTGTAGTTATCCCATGAGGTGTGCACAGGGGAGTGGGGGATATTTCCACTGATGTCATCTGTGAGCCTCCGCCTATAACAATAACCTGAATTTATCCAGAGCCATTAAAGAAGTAAAGATATCTCAGGGCATTTCCACAAGAGCATTATGAGTTAAAATGTGACATTGGACTCTGTAAGGGGCTAGTAGAACATCTGACCAACTGATTGAACAATGACATGGTTTTGAAGAAGTGTTTTAAAGCAGAAAAACAAGGAGGAGGCAGGATTTCAGAGTTGCTTGGGTTGGAGGGAACACATTTCAGAGCATAGAACATGAACAGCTAGAGGTGGGGACGTCAGCAGTGGTTGCAAGAAAATTAGGATTAGGTGCAAGGTCAGAATTAGAGGAGTATCGATATTCCAGAGGGTTGCAGCAATGAAATGGGTTTCAGAGTTATGGTGGGGTGTGGTCATGGCAGGATAAAATTTTAAAATCTGTATGATTCCAGACCTGGAGCGAATGTAGAACTAGTGAGCTGCTGACGTAAGTTGAATAATTGCCAATATTGAGAAATCTAACAGCAACGTCTTGGACATGAAGAATTGTCTTCTCTGTTCATTGTACCTAGGAAGCATGGAAAAATATCCCATCAACAATCCGGAGGGTTGTTTTATGATTCCTGGACAAGTCAGGTCAGAGGGTGAAACCTGACTTGATCTTGACTTGACTTTATTTTTGTCGTTTGGTTAATATGGCGGTCATTCACCAAACATATTCACATGAGGCTGCCAATGTTCTTTAAACTAAAAAGAGCGCAAGTTTATTGTGGAAAAATGTTATAAACATATATTTTAAAAAAAGACAAAATAAAACCGAAAGCACTGCAGATGCTTTTATTCAGAGACAAAAATAGAAATAGCTGGAAATTCAGACCCTCAGGAAGGATCACTCAACCCAAAACATTAACTCTGATTTCTCTCCACAGATGCTGCCAGACCTGCTGAGCTTTTCCAGCAATTTCTGTTTTTGTATCTTAAGAAAAAAGACAAGTTAGAAAGATCTTAAGATAAACAGCCAAAAGAAAAATTTGAACATTTTTTCCCAGCAACATCCTTTAAACTCACTCAATTCCAGTAATGTATCATTCCAATCTTAACTCCAATTTTTTACCTAATTGACTAATTACAAGCATTTCCTTTTGACAACTTTCTATATACGTTATACATTCTCTCCCTGAGACACGCAATCACCAGCTACTTCACTGACTTTTCTTAATCAACCTCCAAGAAAATTCTTGTCTATTTAAAAACATTTTAAAGTATGCTTTCCAAGTCTGAAGGCCTGATGAATGCAATATACTAAACAGCCCTTCTGCTGAAATAAAACAAAGAATTGCAGATGCTGGAGATCTGAAACAAAAACAGAAATTGCAATTCCCCAGTCTGCCTATCCCTTTCATATCTGTCTGTCTGTCTGTCTCTCTCTCTGGGCTCCATCTCCACCTATCTGCTCACCTCTCTCCCCCGTGCCCGTCTTCAGTATAAGTTTCACTTTTTCCTATCTGCTGTCATTTCTGCTGAGTCAACAGATTTGAGACAAAAACTCTGCTTTCTCTCCACAGACGCTGCCAGACCTGCTGAGTTTCTCTAGCAATTTCTGTTTTTGTTTCAGCCCTTCTGAAACTGTTGACCCTTGGTCTGTCTTTCTATTTCTGCATAAAAGTTCAACTTTGTAAGCATTTCATCAATTAACTCCCTGGGTTTAGCCACATGCTTTCTTGGAAATGCCGTTTAAACTCACTGTTCAAAAATGATTTTCTGACCTCTTAAAAAAAGTATCTTTACATAATTAAGACCATCTACTTCTACTTTAAAATTGAATTCTCAAATAACAAAAATATATTAACAATCTTTATCACTGTTGTACGGATTAGTAGAAGGATAAGGATATAATTGGCTGTAGGAAAAGCGTACAATGCTGATTACGTTTGAGGCTAGTTGAATCATTTCCTGGGCTGGTATTTTCTTTGAGACTGTCCTCATCTGTTCAATCTCCTTGTTCCAGCCATTGTCGGTGTCTTCTTATTATGTTCTGATCCGTGAAAAGCAATTTGAGAAAAAACCTTCAGTTTCTCCTCATTCAAAGGAAGAAAGAAGCTGCATTTCTTTAGCACCTTTCCCTAAGTGTACTCAGGACACTCTAAAAAGGTTTACAGCCAGTTAAGTTCTAGTGTAGGTCGAATCAGAGATAGTAGGAACTGCAGATGCTG